CTGTAACAGAGCCTGAAAGTGAATCTGGAACACCAGCAAGAGAAAGCTAATGTGGATGTAGGCTACGTTTTCATCTGATGGGCAACAAGAGGCAAGTGATTCTTTGTAGGCATCATGCAGTACTAAGAAGTGTTGTTCCCATACTAAAAGACTGCAGTGGTTGAAAAAATCAACGAAAAAACATCTGAAATAGATTATCGAAAAAAGAGGACAAACCTCGAGTTTTATCACTGTGAGAATTTGAAACAGAACTTTTATGCAAATCAATATGAAAGTAAGATAAAGCAGAATAAAACAATCCGTGTGCAGCATGCCGATCCGCTTCTCGAACCATCAGTTTCAAAAAGCCGTGCTCTTTTTTTACTCGTCCAAGTATCTGCAACAAATGACTTCATGTCAGACCCAACCCCATTTTATATCCATCGCTCATGGAAAATGAAAAACGGAGAGATTTCCGACTTTTTGGTACTGTCTGGAATCAAAAAAAAAAAAATTGCTGGAACTGACTTCACTGCAAAGGCGATGATGTTCTTTGCCTAATGGATCGGCGCTTTTCCGTGCAAGCAGCCAAACCAGCTCCAGCACAAACTCGTTCGTAAAACCACTGGTTGTTGGACCAGATGATAGCACACTGTTTAAGATCTGAAAAAAAAAAGAAATTTTTAATTTTACGACAACAACCGACTCAGAAGTTACCATCAGAGCAATCCAATAAACACGACACAAACTGAGCATTATTTTGGGCTGCTCGGTCATCCATGAATTTTTTTGATTTCGTGAAAACGATTATGTCCTATTAACGCAGCGATATTAATGCATTTCATGAATGAGAATACTTCTCTTTTTTTCTGCAGAGATTGCCAATACTTACGCATTTGAACTCTTCTATATCACCACGTTCAAGGGCAGTTCGACAGCGTGCCTTTACAATCAGCGGTTCCATATCACTCCCATATTTCGTTACGGCACTCTAAAATTATTAAAATATCTTTTATTAACAAAAAGGCCAATTTATTAAAAACTAAAAGAGGACAATTTATTAAAAAAAATATCTTTTATTAACAATACCGATTTTAATATTTAATGCATAAGAAATTTAGGTAAAAAAAAAAGAGCAATCAAGCAAGCACTAATAAGGCCACTCGAATGCTGCTGGTATGTAGCTCTGGTGCTATCAAATAATTTCACAGGCTGATGCAGCTAAATCAGACAGTTTTAGCCTCTCGAATGACCCCAGCACAGGATCGTCACTTCTACTACACACATGCCATCTCTCCAGAGATCGCTTTCCTGGTTGCCATTCAGTGCTGTTACACATT